AGAGAACTACCAGCATCATTGATTTGTATACTACAAGCTTGGTGCCCAAAGTTGCCTGATGATTCTTTCACACCCGATGTTCCAGCTTGCCATACACAGCACTCGCCCTCAATACGCAAGTACGCAGCTCGCTGATGATATGTACATCTGTTGACAGTGTGCTTCCGAGGTAGGACAATTTTCATAAGGTTTACAAAACTTCATTAACAATCTTGGTTTGCGAACAGCACACGGAACCCATTCCTATTGATGCTTGAAAAAATTAATCTTACCTGTGTTGATGCGAGTCCCAACTTGGCGGCTGCCGAACGGACAGCCGTCATCGTAAATTGCAACTTATTCTTGCTATGTGCAAACAACGCAGTCGTCAGCAAACAGCAACCTCCAGAGGTTTGTCTCACGCACTCGGATTCTCGCCCCGGCACAATGAATGTTTAGCAACCCAACGTCTGTTGTTGATCGAGACGGACACTTTAAGTACAGGCATTGAAATCAGTAGACATCGCAGCAATAAGCTACATATTAAACGGTGTAGGAGCTAAGACACAGCTTCGCTTCACACCAGAGACAACATCAAAGTCATCCGAGGTTTGTCCACTGGGCTGCACCTGGATCTCGTGCAACTGTTCTGGCATTCACTTAGCCGAATTCGTTTCAACAGGACATGCAAACATACCCACAAACATCCATAGTACTTCACAGTTCAACGTGTTAAATGTCTTGATGAAGTCCACGAACAGCATATGCAATGACCGGAACAGACAGGGTAGCTTAGGTGAAATGGGGATTGAGAAGGCCGATATGGAGGGGACGGTTTTGAATAAAGATGGGAGGCACCGGCACTAGCATTCTTCGCTTATTCACCCCTATCTATGTGACTCGATGCTCATGCCATTCGGGAAGCTTCATAGTCTCGGATGGATATCATCATCTCAGGGTAGCTAATGTTGCATTTTGTCAACCTCGTTACACACCTAATTTGAATACCTTTCGCTGTGTCTGAGCAGCTGTCTATCTGTCCTTCTGGATGCATCATCTTCGGAGTTGTAGATTTTTGCAAATAACCTTTTCTCGGCATCACTGTGGAGACTGCAATGCTGTGGCTTTAATAAAAGTGGCACATCATTCATCACGACACATGGTCTAGCCAGTGTGGTGGCCCTCCCTACCAAACTCCATGCATATTTTGATTTCGCAATCAAAATTTACTGATTTTCCGCACGAACACTTGCATGCTTCTGCTACACGGACCAGTGTGGTTAAACCTACTCAATCAATGTGTTAAAACTGATTACATTGCACTGATGTTAATATATCTGACGATGGAACACTTCAGTAGACAGCATCATGATGCTGCTGCTGATATTTTCTCGGATATCTTTTTTTTTCTGACAGATTGGCCCTCTAATTTAATACGGTTATTTCATAGCATCTCTTGAACGATTTATAAGAAAGAGTCAAATTGCACATACTAATTGGTACTCGAATCAGGAGCTGCTCTTTTGCCATACAAATGCCATAAACTATGCTAGCTTCCAAAGAAACTTCACTAAACGTCAATGCCAACAAACTCTGTATTTGGCTCATCCTCGCCTGCTATTATCAAGTTTTCCTTCGTCATACTGATGTCAACATTAAACTGAACACCTTGTAATCATTGAGCGAGTGGTCCGTACGCTCTCTCTGCGGACATTTAGAGGCAGCGCACGTCTTCCATCAAGTTTTCTTTAGCATACATTTTCGGCAAACTTCCAATGCCTTTTCATCCTCGGTTTTGGATACTCTGATCTTTCATGTTGGGTTTCGTTCACGTTAGACTTCATCAATTCTGTCATTTTTATCAAGACCGTGCGCCTATATTCAGCTTACGCAGGCGGCGCTGGATGTACCCTCAGTTCTTGTCAAGCCCATTCGCCCTAACCACTAGTTGCCGCTGCACTTACTACTCTAAGCCATGGTTCTGCCACAGCACGAAATGAGCTCACTAGCTTTTCGAAACCGTTTACTGCCACAGGAACAGTATTTATGCCGCATGTCACATTGGTTACGGGTGACGAAATTCGAGTATGTCTAGTGCCTTTAGCTGACCGACTTTGGAGAGGGCTAATCATTAGAGGTAAAGGATAGCCGAATGCAAGCACGAATTTCACTCACGGAGTACAACATCGGTGACCTAACAATAACGAAAACAGTATGCAATGGTTCTTGTTGGCCTAATCTGATTAGGAGGACTTAGAACCAAGGAAGTGGTCAATCGACAAAAACTTGAATACCTTCATCTCGTCTGCAAGCAATTACGGGGATTGGATCGGCCGCGCCGAATTTTTTCTGTCCGGTGTGAAAGAAGCGCAATTCTTTTCTAAACAAAATACAATAGATCGTTCCCACTTGTTGCACCTGTAGAGCTAGCTTAGGTTAACAAAAATGAACCTTGACGATATATTTACTAAGTTCTGCTCAGTACCTTAGTCTTTCCGACTGTGAATAACTACATTCTGTGGGTCTACATACTGTGTCATTTACTGACACTTGTTTGCTTATCTGGGTAATATTACCGAAGTGGTTAGTACACAAGTTGCCAGGGATTGTATAGCCGTTTAAAGTCTGTTCCGATTATGAGGACAGTGGTGTAACACTACAAAGCGTTTTGAAACTTAAGCCACACGTATCCCCCTGGAACATTCACCAAGAAATCAGGTCCGAACATGAGGTAACGTTGCTATTTGTGCAAATTCATCGCATCTAAATAGGCATTCCCTTAACGATTTCCAAATTCAAAAGTATGCCAACAAGTCGCGCTTATGAGTTTAGGCGTGCGAAAGGACCCAATGGAATCAACGTGAGAAACACAGGACTTATGGTAAAAATACGCATAGGCCACTGTAATAGGTGTGCATCCGCCAATGAAAATGTATTGTGGTAAGGTCTGGCACACCTAGCTGTATAAGCTGTGAGAGTCACACAACTCGACCAAATCAATGGAAACAGTGCCATGTCAATAAGGCTGTACATAGGGGTACTTGTGTGTAGGGGTGAAAACAAGGTAGGACGTGGATGAACTGGAGATTAGGATACTACGTCACACAGTAAAGCGTCATGGTATTTAGCTTTGGCACAGAAAATGGATAGGTAGACAGGTACATGGATGATCCATACCGAGCGATGAGGCTGACCAACGTAGAAGTAGGCATTTGACAGGGGGGAGTCTTAGGTGGTCGCAAATTCGTTCTGCAGTTGGGTTAGGCTTAGTGTTTAAGGAAGGGGTTTACAACCTTTATATTCGACTGGGGCTACTGTGTTGTTCAGAGAGCTGGTTGCTGAGCGCGGAAGGTATTGGGAGACTATCCGTGTTCGACCACCAGTCCCCGAGAATTATCTCCTACGACTGATGGAAAAGACGCATGAGTGACGCACATGTAGCTTAACTGGTGTTGGGCAACCAGTCCCTTGGTACCTCGTTGGAGACTACTTTCTGAACTCGAATCACCTCCCTTGAATCGGTCATGTGTCCCGCACACCGGTTAGCCGGATATCACGGTGTGTGTTGTTTACAGGTACTGCGCCTAGTTATCTAAACTCCCGAGATCAGTCAATGACATGAGAGAAAAGCATGAAATGATACCGAAGGACCGACTCGACTTTGTGTTTGTTGCTAACCCGGATGGGTTCTCAGGACCGACCGCGTCACTTGATGAACGTATAATCAGATACGGCCCGATGACGGAGTCAGTGTCGCCATTGAATTTGTCTCCTCATTTCTGACACGACTATTCATTTTGAATTATCATTGCTACTATTATTATTATTTTGGCCACGTGTGACGGATCAGCTAGGTCCTCTGCACTTTGTCACACGGATCAAAGTCGACAAACTGAATTCAGTTGCAGCTTTCGAATGTGTTCCACCTGAGTTAGGAAGGCCGCAAGGTTAAGAGTGAATGAGCTGGCTAAATCCGTTGGTGGTTTTTGCTGCAGTAGACTTTCTGGCTAGTAGCTGATTTCTTTAAAGATTTTGGTGTCATCCAAACATGTGTTCATATACCTCATCTGGCACAACGCTATCAAACTGCCACTGGCGACCTGGCATTGGTTCTTTTGCATCACGCTATTTGCCTTTCTATCCAACGACTAATCTCTGCATTTTGGCACCTTACTTAAATTGCATTTTCTGTGTCTTTCTTTTTATTTCTCATTTTCCACTTCCGTTTTACTTAACTATAGAGGAGTAGTACATGAATATGCAACTGGCCTCTGTCAAACGGCTGTGCCGTCACAGTATTGCTTTCGGACATTGTTTACTTCTGGATATGTGGTGGTTTTATCACCGAAAGATTGCTGCGTGCGTTGATTCTATCCGTCTGCTTTCCCACAGTCTTTGTTGCTTTTGTCAACAATGGTACTTATGCTTATTGGCTATTGCATAGACCGGAAACTTTGTCAGAATTTTCCGAGAGCATGAAGGCAGTGATATCGCTTCCCACAGACACCTCTGAAGTGTTGACGGAGGTTCGTCATTTAGGCCTTGTCAACGAACTCTGATATCTCATTGCAATGCTTGTTCAACTCGAATCGTCTTCACTGGTTCCGTCGTATACTCTAAACACCTACCAGCCTGCTGTCTGCGTGTTTACCGGTACTGAGCCCAGCTGCCTAAATCACATCCTTCGCAAGCCACATCAGCGGCTAGTTTCCTTATATCGCCTGCTCACGAAGTCACTGATGCTCTTGCCTTCTCTCCATTTCTACCTGATCTTAATTGCTCCATCCGTGGATTTTATTTTTCATCCACTTCTCTCGAATTATGCTCATTATCATTGTGCTTATTGTTGTGTAGTTAAACGAAGACACTACTCTTCGGTACACTACTCACGATTAAGTAGACTATTTGATTTTGAGTATTTTCCTTCATCTTTTTCCCTACGTCTTTATGAGCTCGATTGACTTTTTTACACATGCACTATTTCCCGTTTTCGTGCTGGATCTACCTCACTTCATTTATAGTCTAAGCTGAATGCGGGGCGCGCTTGCGGGTATCACACAGATGACGTCTTCATACAAGCTGAGGCACTTCTCACTCGCGCGGATCATCTAGTTGGCATTTGTACCTCTGTTCGCGCAGGCATGTGTACCTTTATTGACGCACAGAAAAAATCGGAGGAAAGTCAGAAGTCCTCATGCAACACAGTGCGATTTCAGTTCCGTGTTCCAGCTAACTTCAACCTGCCATCGACGACGCACTCACAGACCCCGGATTCCTTAAGACAAACATCAAACGTTGCCCACGTTCTGCTGCAGCACGAAGTAGATGTCAATAAGTGAGTTCGATCTAGAGCTGTTCTTAGCCTTTTTCGCTGTGTACAAGCCCTTTTTTTCCTCGCTGTTTGTGGTTTTTATCTTTGGTCGTTAGCTCACCACGTGTCGAATGTGATCCATTGTAGTAGTGTAAACGTAACTGTGGATTTGAAAGTCCAGCATGTGTATCTCTTCCAGTCTGCTTCGTTTGCTTTATTCTTGTCGCTCTGTGGATATTAAATTCATATCCAACACGTGCTGCTATCACCTGACGCGAGGTACTTCAGGTTCAGTCCCACTTACTTTTGTCTGCCGCTTATTCTGTATGGTGTTTTCGTCCATCTTACTTTTATTTGCCTCCTTACAGTCTTTTCTAATCTCTGGTCTAAGCCGTTCGTTGAGAAAAAGGGATGTGTTAACTGCACCGCTCAAACGGTGCTTGCGTTCGAATTTCATTCTGCTCTTTGCCATGACATCCCACTACTTTGCTAAATTCGGTCTTTCGAACAGGACTCAAGGTAACATTGTAAGAGGGGATGCGAATTTAGGGCTCCCTGCTCATCGGGGATTATACGATAACATTATAGGCAGCAGGATTATCCATATAAGTCATTTGGATTTTGAGTGATTGCGTCTTATGGGATCCTACGGGCACATCCATGATGGTCTTACTGCACCAATATATTTGCGTGTCTTGGGGCTTGCTTGCTACTTTTCTGCTGGCTAAACACTGAAAGGACTATTTATCTGATTACCATCATTATGTCCTCTTATTTTACTATTTACTATCCAACCAGCCTTTGTGATTTAATTCGCTTCGGTTACATTCGCTTTTGCTGGGCTTAGCCGTAGTGTCACCGAAGCCTAATTTTCCAATGCAATTGCATTGTAAATAGCTTAGTTCCATCTTACTCATATTGAGTTCCCCCTATCGCTGTTTGCGTTTTCCTTCACATCAGCCCTCGAGAAATCGACTTGGTTCGTCTAACAGAAGCATGTAGACAACTGCATCATGTCAACATAATGGACGATCCGGATGTCCACTTCATAGCCGAATTTCTTCAACATCTGACCGACTGGCGTCAACGCATTCGAAATTGCGTTTCATCCATTTGTCAGTTTGCTCTGACAAATGCCACGCGCAGTCTAACCACGCACTGCTCCACAGTCTTGCGAACACCCACGTCCATGGTGTCGGAATCACCAAAATCAAAGTCCGATCCATTGGTTGAGATTACGAATGATGAACATGTATTTATTTTGCTCTCCGAACTGCTCCGGGACTTATACAAAGAGTTTCCTGGTTTTGCACCTCGTATTGCTGAATGGAATTCTCTGCATTTGGTAAATGGGGATGCTCTTTTGTTTTTCCTTTTATGGCCTACCAATCGTTATCCTCATGCTTAAACGCATCGAACTGAATCGTCGATCTGTTGAGTACCGGTAACCAAATTTCAGAAGCACAAATCCCCATCATATTTTGTTAGCCGTGTCTTCCTATAGGGTATTACTAAGAGCTGTTCGTGTCAGTCGAATGCCATGGGAACAGACTATTGGTTATTTAGTTTCCTGTGAATTTTGTCAATCACTTCCTATAATATTACTAGCCATTTTACCATTTCTTGTTCAAGTTAGTCCATGCTAGGAGCAACTTTGGCTGTACAACAATCAAGCTTACCTGTCTTGCTTCACACTCGCATTCACGTCATAATCGGTTACCATCCATGTGAGAACATGTTCGCCAACATGTCCTAGCTAAGTAACTCACTTGCACCCCTGCGCCCTATGCATGCGTATACGATACTATGCATGTGCATCCGGCATCCTATTTGCTAGCGGCCCTTGGCTAATGAAGTAACTACAGCCAGTGCGCGCGGATACCTGCTGCGCAACGCAGTTTGGTCAATGGACGGACCAACTTGCTTGAATGACAGGAATTTGATTGCTCTAGGCTGAATTTGCACCCAGTGTGGACCGACTTGACCGAGAGGTGGTATGGTAATCATTATCGTATTGTTGCTCCGCTCTGACCCATTTTAGTTTCCAGTTCATTGTTCGTTTTTATCATTCTAAGCTGTTGTTACGCAATACAGTGGTTTATTTGTCGTGTCCCTATAGTCCTGTTTTACATATCATTTCCGTATTCACGAATAGATGAAGTTAACATTCCTTACAGTTAACCCGTTTTACCCGTTATTTGCCTTTGGACTCCGCCAATAGAAGGCGGTGAAAGTGACGCATCCCCTCACTCCACCGATGTACTTCCTTCTGCCATCCCGCATCGGCCAAACCTTGGGATCATCAATTGAGCGTTGCGCAATCCGCTCTTGCCTAACTCCGATGGGGCTGATGTACTGACCTACCACTAGTATGATTTGAACTCACTCGAGCATACCTGTGGGTTTGCATGCTGATTGTCTTCCTTCGTTGACGGTAGTGATCACTACACGAGATAACACAAAGGTCACTCCTCGCTCACTTCTTTTCCAAGTGCTGAAGGTTGTTTGCTTTTCTCCGTTCGAAAAGGTGTTGCTCAGGAGAATCCTGTCACTGTGATTCTTCCGAACAGAATTTTGTCATCTGTAGACTCGATTGGTTAAAGTCGTTCATAACTGTGGCGTTTCGACATTCCAGAGAATTGGACGGTTCACATAGAATCCATTTTCTGTGGAATCCTTGGTACCACGTGTTTTAACTTCTGTCTGTTATCATTTATAGATACGTAAATCGTTTAAATGGCTGTGTATTTGCCAAAGACAACTTGATGAGAAGCACGACCATCGGTGGACGCTTCCTCGTCTTCGGCATCATTCGATCACCGGAGAGGATCTTCTGAGTCAATTAAGTGCTGCTTCGACAGCTAGCTTGACTCCTTCAACCAAATCAGCTTCTGGTGTTTCGCTTCCAAATAACACCGGCCTCAACTCATCAGTGTCTTCCGTCGACCCTACAATCGCTCCGATTTCCCGTCTGTTGCGTGCCAAAATGCACACTGCACTCGGACAACTTTCGCAATTGGTCGTTCAAGTCGAATCATTAGTCAGCATACTGAATGAAACGTTGAGTGCTACCGGGTATGTTTACCAGCCACCTTTTTCCACAGCGAACCATCGTTGTTGTGCCATAACTAAGTGTGGTATTCTCGTGGTAACAAGTTAACGCAGTGCAGGCATGCAAGTAGTGACAAGCTCGGTTATTGAAGAAGTCCAGAATGGGGTTCCGTTCGGAACAGGATATGCAAGCGGACGCAGTAGTGGTCACATGTCACGTGTAATGCACTAAGTACTTCTGAACATGATAGCCTGAGTCACTGGGACGCGTAAATGGATTCATACATAACATCATATGATCCGGCCTCAGCCAGACGTTCAAGTTCATGACTTACATAGGAACGTACCTGAGACCTGAAGCAAACGAGCACGTAATCGGATGCGAGCAATTGGACGGATTGACAACTGTTACACTAAGGCCTTTCTCACTTCTGATAAACGTGATGTTATATCATTGCCCGACTTGGATACTTTACTTGTGCCGCTATACACCCACTGCTCGCTCCTTGTCTCCACTACAAACATTTTTTTCGGTGCTGCCTACTGTCTCATCTCTACTCTGCGCTAAACTATGCATTAGTGCCAACGCACCTCCCCCCCATCACGTATGAGCGACAATATCGAGAAGGCGGCACTGCTTACTTGCACCGCTGCACCCGCGCTCAAACCAGGTCGTTGAGCATCATCAGCTTTCGGTGGCACCTATTATCAGACCTGATCATTTGCATCCACTCAAGGTCAACGTGTATCGCCGAAATCGGCGGTACCCTTGATCCGGCCATCTTCGTTGTTGCAAACTAAAGTCAGTAGAAATCAGCATCTCCCGGTGTCTCGTCACCTTGCAGTTTTGAAGGGCTTATTAACCAATGAATCGGAGCGAATTTTATCATAAATGGCAGAGTACACTTTTATGTAACAATGATCTGAGTTAAAGAGTGGGGCTCGTTTTTGTGCGAAAAACGGCCAAACACCATTTGTGGAGACGAAACTCAGTTGCGCTTTAAATCTGATCGGAAATGCCACTATGCTTGTCAAATCAAGTGCCTGGATGAATGAGATATCAATGTTATTGGACCCCCGGCGATGACACAGACGGAGCGGTCTAGTTTAGATAGTAACGCCGAGGATAGATGATCCCCAAAAATTTTCAACTCTAATGCTTGTGTGTCGGGGGATACGTATACATTCCCAGTAATAACAGAAATAAAACCATTCGAAAACTTTAGCTGACATTCAAACAAATGCCAGCTGATTGTGACTGTTGAGTACGTAAAAAAATATGCATGACGAGTTACACCAGCGTTGATGGACGTAGGTAGTGGCACCCCCTTCTCGGTTTTGAGGCATTCCGTGGACGTCGGTTCTTATAGGAAGGTGACCAGCAAGTTAAATAACTGTCTTCTATATCAGCATGTAACCAACTTTCTTGAAGCATCAAATTGGCTGCATTCGTCTATGCGATGTGTAAAAGCGGTAAGATCGGCCATTTTTCCAAGGAGTGATCGAATCTTTCTGGATAAGATCAGTGGGATTTTTGTCTTGTCAACTAAGCGACGTCTAAGACTTACTTGCCGGCCAACACGGTGTTTTCACAATTTACAAAAATATTTCCGCATAATTATTTTAAAAGTATTTCGATTTTGTGAGCATATTGAATAGTACGCGGTTAGAGCAGCATCTTGGAAATTTCAACACGTTAACCAAATAGCAAACATCGAGGTCAGAATATAGTACCGATAAACAGAATGCCAAAACTGTTTTATGAATTCCCTAAATCCGCAGTAGCTAGAATAACAAGGATTTCTCAATGAGAAAAGCGACGGCCGAATTAAAGGCCCAGCCAGCGAAATCGGTTGGCACTTAACCGGCATCGCCCTGTCCTTTGTGTACAAATGCAATTAACGGTCTCCTTGATGCTTTCTTGGGGCTCATGACCCTAAGATCAAGCTTGTTGATCTGTTATTATTGCGTCTACGTAATTTCCCTTTGTGACCAGCTTCAAATCTTCGGTTTTTCCGTCACGTGGTTTATATTTATGTTGCTAGTTTGCGAGTGAGCAGATAACACGAAATGGTTCCATCTCACAATACCAGTCTTCTCATTGTCTTATTTAGAAATCTCTATAATAGATTTTTAGCTGATAATCGGTCTTTGTGCATCTCTTTTTGATACATCGTTCTTCACGTCTGACGGTTTAAATCCTTATCTGTCTCTCGATCACTTAACCAAAGTAATCCCCTTGTCGCAAACAGTGTGCTTATGGGGACTTGCATCTCTATTCTCGAGTGTCAACCGGTGATTCACTGGTGATTTCCTGAGAACACTGTAGCGCCGCAGTGTGTCACGATTACTTCCACTTGTTTCTCGCACCGCCCTTGATGCTTTACCTATTTATCGCAGCCTTCCATTCTTTCTATCATTTTTTCCGCCAATGTTTTCCACCATGTCTAACCGAGTGGAATTCTCACACTTTAGGCTTGATGTTCGATTTGCGTCAAATATCGTTTTTTTCATGCTTCACCTATCTTCATTTTTGCTGTACTAGGTCTTTATCCTACCTAAGATTGGCTTGTGTCTTGGATCAGCTTCGTTCGCTTAAAGTCACGCATCTAATCAATTGGGGTGAAGAGGATATCGAAGTGCCGGATGATACGAAACTGCAAACTGACCTAGAAGGTGAATTGATCCAACAAATGCCTTCGGATACCGACGCATTGCGACCATCTGGAGTTGTCGATGAACTACGAAGAACATTTTTGGATCGTTTGACTCTCATCACAAAATCAACTGAACTTCTCACACCGCTCACGTCTCGACCCCAACTAAACGAAGTTTGGTGAAATTCTTGAATGCATTTTCTCTGCCTTTTTTGCCAATCCTTGGCCTAACATATTATTTTCAGGGGTCAGCCGCTTGTATGTAGCCCTTTCGTCAGATTTTCGCTGTACGGCGTGCATTTCAGCTAGTACGTAATCTTAAAGATCACAAGCCTGCTTTGTAATCCTAAGGCGCGGGTTCGAGCCTGTGTAGGGACCGGGTGACTTCGCAGTATTTTTATCCCTTGTGTAACTGGTGGTAGTTAGCGACAGTAGAGCGTCGGTAATACGTATTGCTGATACCTTTTTTGACTTTTGAAATGCATTTCAACAAGACCTGGCTTCGTACTTTTTCTGGGACTTACCGTTTAGGTTTCTATTCGCGTTCCCGTTCATCCATGTTTTCAGCCCCTCCTGCTAGCTGCACCCTCGTTGATTTATGTCTCTTTAACATCGTAAAAGCGATACTAGGTACTATTTTGCTGCTATTGTGTTTGGTGATGGCGATGGAGTTTTGCCTTGTCTTAGTACCGTAACGATTTGTGTCATGCGGCGCTGCTTCGTCCCCCGTCGATCCACCTTGGCCACGATCACAGAGCATGTTCCCCTTCATAGCCCTTAGTTTGATATCCCGAAAGACTGTTCTTCCTTTTTTTAAACCTTGTGTAGTGCGCTTCCGATGACCGTGTTCCTATGCAGTGAACCTTGTTTGATTTCTGTTTGCTCCTTGTACATTCTCTTCCATCGTGCCCGAAGAAGACATCTTTGTGCCAGTACCATTAATATGACCGTTTCTCATTGGGGCTTTTGGGCTTCGTCCACCCTTTCGTGCCTAAATGGGACTTCGTTTCTCGGGTTGCCTGGTTTTCGAATCCAACTGCATTCCATTGTCAACCGTACTTACTCTGCGATTGATTTGTTCACTTACAAGAACCACTCACATGTTGCAACTTTTTAGTTGCTCGCTTGACAACGCTAAGACTGAGTACCATATTTCAGTGGAAACGGTGTCGTCTTTAAGTTTCCTCTTTGGGATGAATAATTTTTTAACCTTTCCCCACTCTATTAATCGTTACTTCTAACTGCGTAAAGTAAATTCGATAGCGTGGGTCATTACTGCTCTACTGTCGCTTTCGTGTATGCTGGGGAGGTTTGGTTTTTCCCCCACTGTGAGCCCATTCGATGTTGAGCGACCTTTGGTTTTATACGCTGATATTGCACGCTTGGATCATTGTATAATTTTTGACGTAACCGGTTACCGCTTTTCATGTACCCTTCACACAGGGTGTGGTACTCTTGTCTCTCGGTCTGCTCTTGGGTTCGCTACCATCACCAGCTGGAACCCATACCCGGTTATGCAAACACCTGGCCACATCAGGAGATGTTGACGTCGTCCTTTCGAATTCTTTGTCTCAGCTGGACAACTTGGTGTCTACCACTCGTGTGGCTCTGAACCGTTTGCATCTGGAAGTGCTTGGTGCTGAGTGTGTTGATGAGGCTGATGGGAACATCGCTCTTATCAAGGTCTGTTCGATTCGAACCTCTAGCCTGTTTTCCGGTTTTAGCATGTTTACTTTTTTAAACAGTATCATTTCCTAAAGTGCGCTTCGGTATCTCTGGGACCTGACCATTTTTTAGGGAAATATAATGTACGGTCGTTCCCATTGTACGTTTGCTTAGGCGACATTTTATCTGCGCGTCTGTACGAACGCTTGTTATCACCCTAAAAGTATCCACATTTCCTTTTAGCATTTTAGGTTGATTACTTCATTATTCCAGCCCCATGCACCCTCTCCACAACCAGTTTGACTTGGTAGTCTTCTACCGCGGAACAAATGAATCATCACATTATCTAACATAGTAGGTGCTTGCTTGCTTCTGTATCAGGAATTCAAACATGGCAGCTTTCTGAAATTATTGGTAGTTCAATCTTTACCCCAGTTTTATTCTACTCTGCCATACTGTGCACCGTGTTCACTGCTGCTGAATAATTCAATTTTATTGGTTTGGGTCTAGTGCCGTGTGATTGACATCTTTCAATGCATTTTCACTTTAGCATCACACCTTCCTTTATGTAATTTTAGCGTTTGTTGCCGTTCTTCCCGCATTCCGATCGAAACGACATCTGCTTGCAAGATTTTATGAAGGCCTATGAAAGGAGTCCCATGGAGTCTGTGGTGGGTCTTTTCCCCCCTACTATCTGGTCTGTAGATTTGTCATGCTCATATTGGATTAACTATTCGGAGTTTCTGCTAATCCATGCACTGAAAGCGTCTAGGTCTGTTGCATGATGCGTTCATTCCATCGAAATATACGAAGAACTCTGGCTCCATTTCGGCATTATAGCTACGTCACATGCGTCATACTCTCTATAAGAGACGAAACACATTTCAACCTACCTTCTTCTTTATCTACTTTTCAGAAGGTTTACGGTGATTTCGCTCAAGATGCGGACGCCTCCTTTCTCACTCTGATGCGCACTGCATTAAATGACGGAAGACTCTGCGGCGTTTGTTGCCAACGTTTTGCAGCTGATGTAACTGTTGAGGTTTGTTTTTTTCTACTAGTGTTTATGTCCACCCATTTCTTTTTTCCATCTAAAGCATGGTAACGTGTGAACGCAAAGCGTTCCTCAGCCTCAATGTTTTAACAACCGATCACTAACAATTACTCGATAAGATGTGTGGGGCGGCACATCGGTATCCTTGCCAGTCTGCGTATCATAAGTAGTTAAAATCTCGGCGCATGATATCCGCATCGCAGCGTTTAGCATTTTTCCGCACGTGCCTACCCGTGTCACCTACACTATACTCGGGAAATTCATCCATCACCGCACATCGATGCCCCTCACTCACGTTTTCTTCATATTCAGACAAACTGTGAGTTTACGACACTCGATTTAAACGCAGTCTCAAGTACCACATCAGTTGGAGTAGTCTGGGACACATGATATCATTTAGTGTCGTGATGTATTCATAATGACAGTCAAAATTCTATCCGCTCCTCCATGTATTGCCCTACCTCACTCGGATGGTGGTTGCCGTCTCTGGCGCGCTCCAGTTTGTTTGTTTTTTGTTTTCTCATGCTTTTGTATTCATTTCAGGTGGTATTTAGGGTCTATTTTTAATGCTACCATTAACAGATTAGAGTTGTCCACGGCGGTACAGATAGGCGTTTCCACCTCCGCTCCTAGCAGTGAAATCCTGAATGCCGATTTTCGTTCGTTTTTTCTTGAATTGGTTAGGGCATTCTTTACTGTCATTCCTCAATTTCTTCCTACCTTCGTATTTGACTTATTTGTTCCAATAGGGTCTTATGGTCTATCATTTGGCAATATGCTTGCCTGCTTTCCCCTCCTTTCTCCCCCCCGCATCGTGCTCTGTGTTGCACGCAAACGTCGTCCCGTAAGCGTGGGAGGTGGTGACACAGTTGTTATCCTTTTTGATGTGACATTGTTAAATCTGGGAATGGCCTATGGTTCAGAGACCTGGCCAGTGAAAACATTAAACGTTTGGCCGTGTTTCACCACCGGAGCTTGCGGAGTATTGCTCAGATCTAGTGGGAACACCGGGTGAGCAATGCTGAGGTCCGCCAGTTGGGTTTTGACAAGAAGCCTTCTGCTGCCTCAATGGAGTATTTGCTGAATCTTAATCGCTCCCGTTGCCTGGGCCATGTCCTCCGTATGCCCGTTGATCGGCTTCCCCGGTGTGCATTATATGTCCTTGTTACACGTTGTTAGGCGAAACCGCAAGGCAGTCGATTGACGACATAGCATAAGGGCATGCCGTTTTCGTGGATATTGGTCCATGGATGATCCACATCGAGAGTCAGAGACTCTCGTACATGGCGCAGTCAGCAGCGTTTTTGCATTCGGTTTCTTGCATCTAGCTATTCTCATTCATCCCGTTCTGGTTATTTTCGCGCAGTCCTTGGTTCCCCTTTCTCTACGTTATAATGGCATTCAACCTCATTTTCTGATCGTTGCTATTTATTGTTAATATGGCGAGCTGAGTCGTGCAACCTGGGTTTACTGCATTTCGGTGCCCGGAGTTTAGTTTTTCAGCTGAACCGAACTGATGCCAATGTTAGGTTCCTCACGTTGCTACGCTGCACACACGTACTAATACTGCATAACACCCCAGTTGTGAAAATTTCAACAGAATTTCTCGGTCACCTCATTGTAGACTTCGCCAGCGGACTGCTCATTTTGCACATGTCTTCCAACCGGACTCCCTCTACCGGAGGACACATTGCGGAAGTTGGCTCCGGTGTGGACGGTGGATTGTTCGGCTCACAACTCCGCACCGCTGGGCACTCCACATGCGGTCGCTTTTCAAGGCTGTTTGATGCGTTTTGATCGGTGGTTGGTAAGAAACAGTTCTCCTGGTCTATATTACTCTATTTTTGTCGCAGACGAACCATTCCGATGTAGCATTTTTATTGGTAACACTCGCATCCACCTTAAATCCTTGTTTACCCGCCATATTTTTCGTTCTTTAAACTTCACTTCTGCTCAAAGTGGGTTCATATTGACATGTGCAAATTTTGTCCCCTACACTGTTGCTCCATCTGATTACGCATTTGCCCTGGCAAGCTTCGCACCACACGGGCACGGCTTGTGTGCGATCGATTCGCTGCTACTAGGTATTCCTTTTGCAAAGGCATCTCTCTGCGTCCACTCAACACTGAATTCGTTACAGTAGACGCTCATTCAGTTACTGGCTTAACCTCGTTTCGCTCGCCATCCATGCTGTGTCATCTACCCGTCTGTCATGTATTGTAGACGTGCACTTTTCGATTACATTTGAGTGTTTTCAAATGATTTTTGTTTCTCCTAAAGTAGTCGCCTCCTGTGACTTTTAATATTTATTCCTGTCCAGTTCTCATTTTCCGTACTAGCAGCATTACCGTATGGACACTTTCGCATGATTGTACCCAACACATTTGGTTCTTTTTCAGTGATATGGCTTTAACGCGTGTTTCCACTCTTGATTCTACTCAGATCTCATTAGCAGGAAAGGTACTGATTTATTCTAAACATTACTGACGCGAGAGCGGTTCCGCAGGCTTTCAGCTGCTCGTCATAATCTACCTGACTATTTAAGTGCACTCTATGCGTCTGACATGTGCTTCTTGACGCATTACTCTTCAAATATTTACTGCGTACTTGCCGGTCGTGCGCTTTTCTGATCGCTCCGAAATATATGAGCAATCGCAAAGTAGTTTTCTCAGAGGAACTCTGCTCCCGTAAGATTACCTTTCATGTTCAACCTTCCGTTTCGTACCGCTTTTGCCGAAAACCTGGAACACTTTACTGGTCCGTGTGTAGACACAATTGTAGCAAGAAGGGGCCGAGCGTGTATTGTCACAACGGTGTGCAACTGACAACTCAAACCCGTACAGTTATGGACCGTGTTTTCTTCCCACGACGCAAAGCGGATGAGGATTTGTGTGACGCACCATTCCATGTGGCTTACGAACTTGAGCCTGGGAACAATCCGTCCATATTTCATCCCGTGTCTTCGCTTCGCTATGTCCGATTCTGGCCAGTCAGGAGTCGTTCGAAAGTTCGCGATTTAATCTACCGTGGCTGCATCACACGGACCACGCTCAGTCCGGTGAATTTTTGCAAGCGGTGTATTTGCCTGATTCACTGCGTTCTCGACAAATACATCCTCCGATGTTTTTGGCTCAGGCTCGTCACCAGACCTCGCTCTTGATCTGCTGTCGACTCGATCCGCAAGGCTCGCACTGCCTTGTCTTGTCTCATCCATTGCACATGTTGTTACTTATGACCATCCTGTTTTTGTTCTCTTTCCGGTTCACGATTAGTCGTTGGCTTCCTCCGTTCTACACATTGACTGGGTGGAAGTTAGTTTATTTTCAACGCATAACCAATGCTATCCTTACATATAAATCCCGATGAAACATCCAGATAGCTATCACGGAAGTACCAAACGATACTTTGTACCGATGCCGCTGCAAATACTTATGCACGGATTTGAATATTTCCGAAGAGCCCAAAACTAGACATCTGCTAGAATTCGAATCCCAGGTGCAGATCAAACGCCTGAACGATTACAACTCGATCATCTGTGGAGTAGTTACTGTGCCGAACTTTCTTACTCTATGAATTTCACCCCTATACAAAATAGGTGGTCTGTTTGCGTATTTGCTAGATTGTTTTGATGAAACCATTAAGTGCCGAATAACCTCATTAAAGTTACCTCGACGATGGGGTTTCCTATCGCGATCTTCACTCCCTCTTGTGACAGGGAGGGGTATTTTCTAATCGAAAGGAGTCAGTGTACGTTTGCTTTATAGATGGTCGTAAAATATGGCTGCACCATACCACGCGTCCGACATTTTACAGTATGTAAACATCCATATCCTCTTGTTTGTTTTTCGTCCTCCCATCCTGACTTCATTTTGCAACATGTTAGGATTTTATCTATTCCTCGTACCCGCATTTACTTTAGGATGAGGTGGACTACCTGCTCCGCTCCAATCTGAACATCATTGCATCGATTCGGACCCGATTGGACTACAGCGTGTTATCGAGCCTCCCGCGGAGGTTTCACTCTTTATCAGTTGATATTTCATCTGTGTCCGTGGATGGCCCAACCGAACTGAACTGTACCGACCTGGTTTCTGAGTTCCGTGGAAAGATTGCCGCGGGCATTGCCTCTTCTATCAATTTGGACCCGTATCTTGCTTTCCTGACGGCGGTTATTTCTACGTTGCGCCTCCCGACCGTATCCAGTTAAGCTTTTTCTTTTGTCATCCTTTTTTTACTTTACACTTCCCTTTCGACACACCTAAACAAGATGGCAATTCCTCTTACTTCTCCTCTGGCGCATTTTGTACATATTCTTACCAAATCATGTTGCCATCTTAGTCCACTTTATCATACTCTTGTGCCCACTGGTCAGTTATTTCGGACTACTGTCCACCACATTGCTAGGCATATTAAATATTTCAATGTCAATCTAATGTTGCACTTCCTACCTGGGATAAGGGGTAGCAACCATCGGGGAATTAGGGCTGTTGGAAAACTCCCACCTCATCCATCTTTACGCTCGCTCAATCTCATGCGTACACATCGCACTCATAAATCAGTTTGCTTGGTTTCAAACTTTGTTGTTTGCTTTTCAAGGTTTCAAAGTTCCATTCTGACCCCATTCATTCATTTTTCATGTCGGAAACCTCTTTCATGCAGTTTAGGCTCGGTGGCAGTTGTATCTCCGTTCAGTTGCTGTGCTTGCGTATTTAGGCGAGGTACTTATTGTGGTTTTAGCACCAGTCTTTTATTCCAGTGGTTTCTCTTAGGAATGTCCAGTAACTTCTCTGTTTGCGCTTCACACTATTCTTGTCGATGCTATCAACTTTCCCTATTAGAAATGAAAAACTCACTATCGAAATTTACTGTCAGTTGTGGGGTCAACATGTTCAACCGACTAACTTTGGGATTTCGGTTCGTAAACTGTTTCAGTCACAAAGTCTGGCGCTAAGGTAAAAGTTACCGTGTGGAAAGCTGACCGAATAATACCTTGAAACGTAACAAGTCGAGTCTAGTCCATAATTACTCACATGGACTGGCGGCATCCGTATCCGGATTTGCCTCCCTATGGTCAGCCACAGGACGCCTGCGCCCACAGAAGGACCATGGGTGGCTTGCGCTGCACCACCCACATACACCATATCCGATGTAAACCCGAAGGAATAAGACCGGGAGTCATGTAGATGGGAGCCACGTTTCATCAACGGAGCCGCCCACACTCCTTCACAGGCAAACACAAGCACGCTGTATTTGGGGAATCAAGTACACACAAGGCGGTGGCTGGACCGTAGTCCGCTCCACACTGAGTGCATGGAACCACTCTTCGAGCCTATCACGGCCACAAGGACTGCGCGCCCCGTCCCCTCCAGCAACGACCAACTGTCTTCTGGAACCAGTATGAACAAGGTAGTGGGTGATAGACAGCTAGGCACCTTGTCAACATGCACATCAAGCGCAGCCACACCTGGGATATCAAGCAACAGCCAATCACTTGAAACGACAAGATGCGATAAAATAAATCCAATAATGCATACAGATACGGTGACATATCTCTTCAGTAAATGAGTATATGAAATAATTTGGTTGCCAGAAAATCCGCGAAAGGCTCAAGATATTAGAAAATACATTTTAAGAAAATTCCACGGACGCGAAAATGTTATCAAAGTTAACTAAAGTAGTTTTAGGGGCTTGTGCAAGTGTATAGAAGATAGTTCAGGTAGACATTAATCTGAGATAGAAATGCATTAGGACAACATAGCAAACCCAGCACCTGAAATAAAGAGACTCAGCATGCAAACGCGCAGTTTGTAAATCGAATACAGGGTACCTACAAACGCTGCGCCGGTTCTGCCTACCATTCTCTGCAGGACCCGTGGTCGTTTCGGTGTTGGCCTCGAGTGGCCTTGCTCATGGCTCATTAGGCCTGCCTGACCCAGGCACTCGCGACCATGCGCTCGATGTCGATGTAGTACATACCAACGGCGGCGGTCGCTTCCGAACTTGCCGCTTCTTCTCCGCATGCATGAGGACTCTCTCTTGCACGTCCACAACGGCCTTCGTGATCAGATCGCGCCATACGCGCCGATCAACCGCTTTCGATTCCCATGACCTACAATCAAGATTAGAACGTGTGAGGCTCACTTTGATCAACTCCTGAGAACGAAGCTTCGGTTTCCCCACATGCCGCTTTCCCACAGTTGACCAAATAAGAGCTGCTTCGGTATCCGCGTCGAATCCATACGCCACACATGACGTCGCCACCCCAGGTGTCTCAACGCAAGTATGCAGTCCACTGCATACATTCTACTTCGGCGCAACATCTGCGTGTCCGCAACTCCATCGTATCAACCAGTGCGCAAAATCCGTCACAGACACCGTTGGTGCAACCTCTCGAGATATCACACATCCCGACGGTACATCGTCTACGTTTCACTGCCGTCTAGAACGGACAGCACAAGGAATTTGTACACCATCAGCTTCGTGCCAACGGTAAGCTGAGGGTTGTTCCACACTCATTACTCTAGCTTCCCGAATGCTGCCGCTGACTTCAACGCGCGAATGCGCAGCTCACTATGTAGTTGCTGGTCAGTCGACATCACACTCCAAAGGTAGCAGAAGCGGGAGGTGGTTTCCAATACTTAAGCACCAATGCTGATTCGCGGTACCATTGTAGATTGCACCTCCGGTGAAGGCTGAAAGAGACAGACAGTTTTGCTTGTGTTGATGGTGGGCCCGAATTTGGCAGCTGTCGAAGCCAGAGCACTAGTCATGTGCTGCAACTCATCCGCGCTCTGTGCAAACAACGCATAGTCGTCAGCAAACAGCAACATACGGATAGTTGTCTCACAGACTAGAGTTCTCGCACCGGAGCGATGGATGTTCAGCATCCCACCATCAATACGGCGCTCCACACGAACACCGTAAGCACAAGTCGCATCAAATGCACAAGCTATCATGGCATGGAAATATATATTAAACAGGGCAGGAACTAAGACACCGCCTTGCTTCACACCAGAGAGAACTGCAAAGTCATCCGAGGTCTCTCCACTCAGCTGCACCCTCGCTCGCATAGCACTGTGCAGACATTCAATCAAACTTACTCGGACAACCAAACTTACCCAACACTAGGCACAATGCCTCGCGGTTCACCGTATCAAATGCCTTGGTGAAATCAACAAAAAGCGATTACAACGGTCAGTGTCGTTCTTTGCTCTTCTCGTGCAAATGACTAGCCGCAAACACCACATCTATAGTGCTGCGACCCGAACGGAATCCACATTGCTCTTCCGCCACTTTCGGTTCCACAATCTGACTGACGAGGCTGTTGAGCAGGATTCGGGCAATCACCTTGTCCACACAACTCAGCATGTTGATGCCACGATTATTCGCGCAACATTGCTTGCTCCCTTAACCCTTGTGCAGTGGTAGCACAAGCGCATCCTTCAGCTCAGGAGGCACCTCCTTCTCAATCCACATGAGTTGCACCAAGTGGTGCAGCGCAGTCACCAACGCGGGTCCGCCGTGTTTCAATACTTCAGGCGGGATCTCGTCGGCGCAGGCACACCTGTCGTTTCGCAGCTGAGCAAGTGCTCTCTGCATCTCATTCAGTGTTTGCATGTCCTCTAAACTCACCTTCACCTCATGCTCTTTCAGGCAGTTCAAACTAGGCTTGTCGATCTCTGAACGGTTGTTCAAGAGACAGTTAAAGTGTTTCCGCCAGATCTGCATTTTGTCTGCAGTCCGTGTGCAGGTAGCGCCTCAACTACCATCGATCAGGGTCCTCAGCGGCGTCAACCGCGGTCCATACACCTCCTTCAAGGAGTCAAAGAATTCCTCGTGTTAGCTGCGTTCGGCGTAGCATTCCATCTGTTTCGCATCCACCATGCATATTTCATGCGACACAACTCTCGTGTCATTCGCCGTCATATTCGCCCAAATTTTATCTTCTTCCACAGTTAGTGGGTTCTGCCACATGTGCAGAAAATGCTGCATTCTCCTCCGACACCAATGCACGAATCGTCGCATTGTTCTTATCAAACCAATCAGGCCGCTTACAATTTGCGCGCCTGATGGTCTCCTCGGCAGCAGCTGTCACCTGGCCACGAATGTGGTGCCACAGATCGCCCACTGTGGCTATATAGTCCACATCACACAGGCGTGCAGCCATCGCGTTCTCCAGCTCAATACGTTTCGCCACAGTCCTGAGTGAGAGAAGGTTAAATTTACGCCGGTTCACGGTGGGAGTGTGATATATAGATTTACGAAAATATACGTACAGTTTTGTCCGCACCAACTTGTGATCAGTGCCACACTCAGCTCCACGCAGTACCCGTGTCATGCCCGCTTCACGCATATCACGCTGACGTACGATGACATAGTCGAGCAGGTGAGCATGACCACTCCGTGGGTGCGTCCAAGTTGTTATATCACTCGCACTCAGTGCAACCCGAGTGTTCGTCATCGTCAGGCCGAATCGTAGGGGTGCAGTCATCAGACCGCGCTGATGCCTCTTGGTTCACCCACGGGCTGGCCATGAATGCGTTCGGATATTGGAAATCCGACCCCATGTTCACCTGCTGCTGAGGTGGCGTTGCCCACCCAGTAGAACGTGTAGCCAACACCTGCTTCATGCAGCTTACCTTGCACAGCGAGCCGGGTCTCACTGAGCTTCGCAATATCGATGTTGTAGCGCGCTAGTTCCTTCGCGACCATTGCACTGCGTCGCTGGTGGCGCTAACTCGAGTTCCGGTCCAGTATTGTGTGCACGTTCCACCACCCGATGTTGAGTGTTTTGCGCGGAGGCATACGATTGCGTTGGTGGGCAATCGCACGCGAGGAGCGGTTGTGCTTCGGAACTTTGATTGAGGAACTCCGCTCTGAGCCTTTGGGTTAATAACCTGACCCACAAGGCAGTGGTGATCAGATACAGCTCGGGACTGTGATTGCAGAGACAGATTGGGATCTGCTTGAGGTCCGTTACACCCAGCGTTTGACCCACTGGAATGATTCATATATGTTTTGCGACCGTATTAGGATACTCTCCTGCGATCACGGCCAGACGCAGGTGGGTTTAGGCAGATTTGCGCCAATTTGACCATGGGCTGCCTGGCTTGAGGCGGGCAGTAGCAAACCATTGAACACACGGAGGTACCCTCCCACCGTCAGAGAGCATGCGTGGCGCTCGTGCTCTACGTCCATCGAGCTGTGAGCTTGTAACCCGTAGACCTGTTGTCTTCCATGGATAGGTTTTACGGGAAGAGGGCATCGACCACTTCCGTACCTCCGAAGAGGATTGACTAGAATACTAGGCGGGGCACCAACACTTGACTGGAAAACTAGTCGGGTCCTCAGCTGTTGTTTGATGTCAGATATACGGCATCACACATTCATCCCGGGTCTTTGTTTTTATCTTCTAAACGGGTGACGGGTCT